TTTAGCAGACGCTTTTATCCAAAGCAACTTACAATTTAGATTCTATCACATTTCTATACCATAGGCACAACTACGGGAGCAATTTTGGGGTTTAGTGTCTTGCTCAAGGACACATCGACATGCGACTAGCAGAGCCGGAGCTGGGGATTGAACCGCCAACCCTCTGATTGAAAGACGGCCCTGCTATCCACTTAGCCACAGTCGCCCGAATATGATAGTAGTAGCCTTCACAATACTATGTTTTTCTCCTCCAAGTTGTGCATTTAAATACTGTCCTGCTTACAATAAAGAACCAACCTGGATTTGGTAGTTTTGCAGGTAGCGGCTCTGTTTATTTTGTGGGTTTGCTTCGAGGCATGGAGGGAACACCTCAACCAAAATATGCAAATATAATCAGAGCTTGTTTTCTCCCTAACATCTCCTCCAGCTTCTTTCTCTTTTTGTTTCCTCTGTGCGTCACGCTCCTCTTTGACGGGGTACTTTTTCTTTTTTTTTAACCTTCCTCCCAAATTCCAGCTTTCTTGTTTTCTAATTTTCCCCGTGTCTTTCAGCATTTGCTGTCCTGCATAGATCCCCTCTCTGTTTCCTTCTTTGGTCATCTCCTTTCAGGATACTGAACTGCTGTTGTTGCTCAAGTTTTTTTTGTGAACGTGCGGCCGTAGACGTTTTCATCTTGACTCAGCTGTGCTTTTTAGAAATGCTCCTCCGAGCTAAATGCCATCCTTAAAGCATGAGGTATTCCTACGTACGTTTGTGCCGTAAAAGCTTTGTCTCGGGTGTGATTCTTGTGTATCTGCTCCCTTCTTCTCCTCCTGCTCAGTTTACAGAATGAACACTAACAGGACGGTATATGTTTCTATTAGCGTTCCTCTTCGCTCTAAGCGGTGCCAGTGTGTCTTTCATCTGAATAACCGAGTGAAACCATGTGTGTTTGTGAGACTCTCACGTCTGCAGTCACAGTCCATCGCTGTCCTCACACTGGGCAGCCAAAGCAGGGAGACAACCGAGAGCCATGACCGCTCGAGGTCTGACCTTTTTTTTTCTGGTCATGAAACCACAGCGGACGGTTTATTTCTGCAGGGTGAATGTCAGACTCTGAGTCGCTGCCCCCCCCTGCATTAAAAGGCCACTAACGCAGAGTGACAGAGGCTAAAAGCACAGAAACAACCCGGCATACGGATCACATCGTTGCATCGAGAAAACAACAAACACCAGCAGCATCCCTGTCCGCCAGAGATGTCGGCTTCTACAGACAGTGTGTCACAGGAAGCAGCAGTTGGAAGGGTGCAAAGGCCGCCAGCTCACGTTGGTGCCAGAAGAATCACGCTTCCTGAGTTTTCCTCTCATCGTGATCGTCTAGATTGGAGAAAATGTAGATTTTACAGGAGAGAAGATTTGGTTTGTCGGTCCAGTGATTGATTATGTGTGAATATCTTTCGCCCAGTGGCACCGTTTTGTTCAGAACTATAAGAGGTCAGCGTGAGCCCACGGAGAGTCACGAGGGTTGGGAAACAGATTGAAATTTGAGACGGTCCAAGAGAAATAAATTCCAGGGAATACTCAAACTCTTAAATTGTGGATTTGTCCAGCTGTGTCAGGAGCTGTGCCCATGCTCGAGTAAGTCTGTTAAAAGCAGTGTGTGTGTGTGTGTGTGTGTGTATATATATATACATATATATATTTATTTATTTATTTATTTATTTCCACATCAATAATCCCCAAACACCCAGAAACAGATTCTCAGGAGACCACGATCTGTCGGTGGGACCCTCATTAGGATGAAATGAAACCACTCAGCTGCTCTGAAGGCTCCCTAAATGGCTCCTGCACACCCCCGGACTCTACTTTGAGAATCGCTGGACTGTACGATCCTGTGCGAACAGAGCGGTGGAAGACTTCCTCGGCGCGGTGGTGCATGGCAGGAATGTAAAAACCAGATGGCCTCAAATGGAAACTCCAGGGCTGTCGGAGGCAGGCAGGCCATCTCGCTTGCTCTAATAAACACTCCAATCTGCAGTCCTGCCCTCTCTCTCTCTCTCTCTTTCTTCTTCTTCTTCTTCTTCTTCTTCTACACTCTGGCTCAGTTAGCCTCCCAACCTGGCTCAGCATCGCCTCCGCCACGCCCCAAATGTTGGACCGCTGCCCGGTTTGGCTGAGGCGCACGCTTCGGGTCCGGCTTCCATCGTTAGCCAAGGAGAACAGCGCCGTCATCCTCCAGTCCCAAACTTATAATTTTCATCTGTTAATGACACAGAGGCAGAGATGAGCTAAATATATCTGGGCTCGGAGAGGACAGAGGGGGGCTCCGAGTACGGCTGTCCCTCGCCCAGACGTAGACGGGGGGGGGGGGGGGGGGGGGGGGGATCGGGAGGCCTGCTGGAGCCCTGTGGTTTTCTGCTGCCGAGGCCTGCTCCTAAAAAACAACCAGGAAAGAAAGAGAAGAGGCAAAAAAAAAAAATGGA